CCCCCCCAAAAACCCTTACATGTTAAGAGAAATAGATTGGTTTGGGATGAGAGAAACAAAACCACCAGTCTAGGTGAAAAGTAGAATTGACACAAGCACACTGCATTAAGGACTCTGCAGAATCATTCATGGGTAATTTATTCAAATGAAGGGTTAAGTATTCAATTTCAACCTCTAAAGTGTTAGACGATATAGGGTCTTACAGATTCAGTGATCACAAACTGCATAAGAAGAAAATAAGAGGATATAAAGCATTAAACAGGGTTTATTTGTTTTTTTGGCAGCACAAGCAACCCAATTCTTTTAGCGAATGAAGTCACATTTTTTTCATAATCTGTAAAAGCACTAATTATGCAGCTGGAATAGGTGCTCATCAACTGAGCCTCCTCTTGTTAATTAGCTATAATAATCACTATAATCTGAACAGGCCTTCTTTCCCAACTGCAGATATAGGGAAACTATTGTAATACAGTAAGGTAATTTGCTCTGCTAGAAAGTTACGGGAATTTTTTTTCCTCTCCTAGCATATCTTTCTATATTGTTCACTTCCACTTAGAAGCCTGTTTTTAACATGAGTATACCTTGAAATAGGAGCTCTGCAGCAAAGTCTCCCTTCTGATGGGTGGGGATTTCAAAACTGGCCTTCAGACTGAACCTAAGCTCAGCAGAAATCGTTTTCAACACATCACAGTCTCTACCATTCAAAAGTAGTTTACTAAGATGGGATGTTAAAACAGATCATATTTTCTGAAGTTCTGCCCATCTGTTTCGGCTGATTTATGTTTTCTCCACATATTTATAAAAAAAATGTAAGTTTAGTTCCCCAGTTCGCCTGCCAGCATGAGCGGCCAAAATAGACTTCAATCATACATGGAATTAAAAATGCACTTGACTACATAATGAGACACCCACCCCCATCAGTGCATATAACTGGAGCTTCCAATTAAAAGGCTTTTTATTGCCTTGGCAATAACCTTTTCTTCCAGGCAAGCCAGTAAGTGGTATATTTCGGGGGTGACGGTAGAAGTGGAGGAGTAGGGAACAACCAGGAACAAAACCTCCTCCAAAACACTACTGCTTAATCCTTTCATTTGGGATACTAGGGTCCCTGCCCCATGTTACACTTAAGATGTGGTTAACCAGAGGAAATAAGAGTATAGGATCTGATGTGCCAGCTCTGCCTTCAGAAGACCGAATCATCATGTGTTCAGCAATCACGACTCAAACAAACCGCTTACTATATAAGGCTGTGGTAACCCCAACTCTTCCCTCTGGCTGTGAAGCTTGAGTGACCTACAGGGAGCCCAGCGCTTGGACTGGAATGCTTTCACCAGTGCTACTTCCAGAAGTTCCTTAGCATAAAGTGGAAGGATCATCACACAAATGCCATTGTCCTCACTGACACGACCACCACCAGTATGGAATCATTCAACATCAACTGTGGTGAACAAGGCATGGTGTGTGCCTGCCTGATGTATGTTGCTATACTCCCCACTCAGCCAAGGGCAAAGGATATGCGGGAGCCAGAGGAAATACTTCAAAGACACTCGAGACAAACAGTAAATAGTGTGGCATTGACATCACAAATTGGGAAAAATTAGCCCGGGACAGGGCTACATGATGACGCCTTGTGAAAGAAGGAAAACCATCTTGCCCTGGACACAGAAAAACAACCAAAATGGAAGGAAAGGAAGCAAGACCAAGAAACCCATGGTCCAACCCTCTCTAACCACCACCTGTGGTCTGCCAGAGTCTGCAGTTCTAGGATCAGCCTTCTTAACCATCAACAGACTCATCTACAACCCTTTACTTGACCCGTGGGAGTGATCATCATCCTTGACTGTGAGAGACTGCCGATGACAATGACGACATCCTAAGTTGTAACCTGGGCACACATTAAAGCAATTAATGAGTCCTAAAACAAGAAATAAACCACAAAGTTATTACACATTTTTTGTGGAATAATTCTGTGGCTGGTTCCTATTATGCTATTAAGCAAATGTGTGGCCAGGTATGTCCCTGTGGCTGGCAGTCCCATCAGCTGATGGGGCTCCCAGCTGCAGAAGCACATGTTGCACCCCCATGGCTGGGAGCCCGCATCAGCAGATGGAAATTTCATCTGCAAGGAACACATGACGCAGGCCCCCCGTGGCCAGGAGTTGCGTCAGCTGAGTGGGCTTCCAACCATGGGAGCTTGCTACTTGCTGCTGCAGGGGGAGCCTGCAGTCAGGATTGTGATCGTAATCCCAGGCTTCCCCTGCATCAGCAATAAGGCACAATGGAATCTGATGCTTAATCCCATAATCATGTCTCCTGCTGTGCACATGTAGCCTGGCAGGAAGCACAATTGTGTAGATCACACATCAGACCCCATCACAACTTTACCTGCTTGTCTGTCAGGGGTTCAACATTCAGAGGCTCTAGGCTGCCAGATCAGAAGCCATGTCCTGTAGTCACAGAACAGGCCCAGCAGGCTTCCTTAGGCTGTCTGATCTTGGTTCAAGTTGGGCAAAAATGGGATCTCCTTTAAAGTGGATGAAGGACTCATCATAGGTGGGAACCTGTTCCCTGCTACCCAATGGCTAACAAATCAACTTGGCATTTTGTTTTGTCTTTAATTTTATGCTTGGGAAAAGACGCTGAGAACAGCACTGCAGGCTGGTCTACTAATATGCATGCAGGTCCAAAATGTCCAATTAATTTAATGCATACCATAGTTCAGATCTGGACAGCCATACTACAGAATAAGTCTGACATTTCTCTTGCTCTAAGGCCTTTTACAACTGTTTAAAGTGTGCCATAAAGACTTCCACTGGAGGACTGCAAAGCACTTTACAAACACTATATCCTCTTGACTTACAAGGTAGCTACATCGTTGCCTGTTTCCCTCTTCACGCATCTTCTCTAAAGCCTGCGAGAGAACTACAAGTTCTCTCTGAATCCCACTTGTGTTTTAAGCAGTAAATAACATTGTCTGGTTCTTTAAACCAAAGTTCCTCACCTTCAAACACTGTCCAATTGTCGTGCAGGTATTTTGACATTTTCAGTAATCCTTTGTCATCATTCACAGGCTAGGAAAAGAAAAACATAATTCACTACACTCAAAAGAATTGTACAAGGCATATCACGTTATCCAGCACACCAAGGAATGAACACAGCTAACCTCAGCATAGTGATGGCAAGGTCTAACAGAATTCCAAGGGTTGGGGTTTTTTTGTTTTTTTTAGTTTCTCTTTCTTCCCGCTCAGGCCTGATCTGAGTTCACCACACTCTGTCTAGGGGGCCTGGAAAACGATGCCTGCCCACTGATACAGAAGAAAGTGGGAATCAAAAAGGAAATACTGTAGGGAAGAACTAAGGGCCCAAGAACATGCCCGTGAAGCTTAATTTAAATTAACAGCTTTCCAACTGTGTAAATCATTTTACAACGGTAAATGGTCAGCCCAGTTATGAGGGCTACTACAAAGATTCTGATAGCATGCAGCTCAACTCTGACTCAGTTCTCAATGGAAACAAGACCTTTACCAATAGTAGAGCTTTTGCTCTTTTTACTTCTGCTTGCTCTCTTTGATGCACATGGTAAGAAGGGCTGGTGCAGAGTATTACTTCTCAGCTTCTGTCTTTCTTTCTAGCAGAACACTGCCAAGAGCCCCCTGCTTATCATACCAAGCTCAGGGACAAAAAGGACTTTAGAAAAGGCACTAGTGCAAAAATCAATTGGAATAAATTGACTGAGACCACAGGCAAGGAGAGCTAGCTCTGAATTTAGCTTAGAGCCATAATGCATTAAAGCAATTAGGCCACTGCATTTTTATCCATTATAGTTAGACTACTTACTGAGGACTAGAGCAGATGCAAAATAGATGATTTTATCAAAGTGCAGCTAACCTGCCACTGTCCATCCATAGGCCTGTACAACAGAAGAGGTGTTACTTTGTTCTCCTGGAAAATCCAGAGCTCACCCGTTTCCTCCAAGGCAACATCCCAGCCTTTATGGTTCAAAGGGATTTGCTTCTTGTGAATTAGCTGCTGGGTATCAGCAACAAGCTGGAATATGTAAACTGTGGGAATACTTTAGAGAGAAATAAAAAGGTAATTACCGTCATTACCAAACCCACCCATAGCTATCACTTATATGCAATAAACTGCATCTACCCACTCTAACTCTAAAACTCCTGCCAGAGTGAAGGCAGCAGCATTAAGTGCACTGCTAAGAAACATCCCCAAACATTTAAGTGGTACTTTATTTATGTCCTCAGAGGACACCCCAATTTGTAGATACTGCAGAATTTTAAACCGCTTTTCAAAAGGTTATCTAGTGGAACCCAGATTCTTCCTTACCCCGGGTGGTCCACAAGCCCTTATCTTCAGGGGGGGGGGCTATAAACAGCTGGAACAAACAACTGTGCAAGACTGAGGTACACCAGCTGTTTGCTAATGATTTTACTTCAAAGGGCACCAGTTCTCTGATCTTTGGCAAGGGAGTGCAGCTGTACTTCAGCTGAGTGGAGAAGCCACACCCTCTTGAAGTAAAAGCAAAAATAAGTTGCTGGCTAAAAGAGACTTTTTATCATCAGATGCAGTTTTACTGCAACCTGGCCTCAGGGTTCAGATAGAAGAGGGAGATAAGGGAATGGAACTAGAAGAATGTGCATGCAGGGAAGCAAGGAGGTCTGTGGAGCTGAAGTGCCATTATGGGCCCAGGGAAGAGGATTTTGTACTGAGGTTGGTGCAAGAGGAAGGCCTCACTGCCAGCATCAGTTTCTCCTCCTGCCCTTTCACTCCCTTCCCCTGCTGCCACCCCACACACACTCTTGACCTCCAGATGCAAAGCCTCCCAAGATCCATTAGTGCTGACAGTAAGCACCCTAGCCTAGAAGAATGGGGCTTTGGCAACTTCACTGCACAGGCTAATCAGGATGAATCTTCTCCTTTTGTTATGCCTGTATCAGGAGAATTGCCTCTTCCTAGGTTTACTAGGTTGTAGAAAAGTGGAGATGTTAGCCCTGGAGCTAGGCAGCACAGTTGCTCACTGATTCCATATCCCTGTTGCTCACTATCCTCCGCCCCACGGCAGACCCTATACCAGGGCAGGCAAAGTCTGGCTGGCAGTGGACTCCATTTCCCAGCAGCCCCTGCCTGCACAGCTGGGGCCAGTTTCCATGGAGACCCCAGCAGCAGCCACTATAGCAGGGCCAGGGTTTCCATGGAGACCAGCCCCAGGGCACTTGCAGGCAGCAGAGGTACTAGCTTCTTCCTGGTGTGGAGGCTATGCTGCAGGCAGGAGCAGGGCAGGATCAGCTGCTGCCATCTGTGCAAGGCAGGCAGCGGCAGCACTGGGAGGGGTGGCTATAGCGCCCCCCGACAGCACCACCCCTGCTGGCAGGGCACACAGCTGCTCTGCAGCTGGGCTAGGATCTTGCAGCCGGGACAGTGTTGCAAGGAGCCAGGGCAGAGCCAGGAGCTGCTGCCTGATGCTGCAGATTGGTCCTGGTCCTGCAGGCTGCAGATTGCAGCTCTGCCCCAGCTCTAGACCACGCTGTTACTGTTGCAAGATCCAAGCCCAGCTGCAAAGCAGCTCTGCGCCCTGCCAGCACTGCTGGGGCCAGTCTCCACAGAAACCCCAGCCTCACGCTATCGCTACCTTAGTGTGGCTGCTGCTGCTGGGGTTTCCATTGAAACTAGCCCCAGCCACACAGGCAGGGGCTGCTGGGAAATGGAGTCTGGCTGCTGGCTGGATCTGCCATTTTGCCCACCCCTGTCCTATACCTTTGGGCCCAAAGTGCACCATAGTCATCAACTGTTGATTTTAAGGCTGTTTGAAAATGGAGCACCCCCCCCCCCAATTAAAACTGAACTCCTGTTCTATAGCCCTATGATTTCCATTTGATGGAGATTTCCATTGTTTTTGAGAGATGCAGGGTAGACGGGGGACAGATGCAGTGCTTTAGGAATTGAGCTTGAGGAATGGCCATAAAATCCTGATTCTGTTCTTGGTGCTTCCCCCCCCCAACTTCCTCACAGAGAGATCAACAGAGGGAGACTGCATAGGAAACACTGCAAGAGTTACCCAAGCCAGCCTGAACTGAGTACAATAAGAGCTCTCAATCCTCCAAGTCCCAACATGCCCAAGATGCTTAAAAGATCAAGAGTCACTTAATATATTTAGAGAAGTCTGATACATCCAGCAGCAAAGGCTTAACTGTCCCCTGCCCTCTCCTTAAGTAGCTATTATGATTATAGCAATCATCCCCTTTTATCCTTACCAGTCACATAAAATGGCAATGTAACTTCCTTGACAACAATAAGATATTCTTGACACAGCATATTTCTGTGAGAAAGGGGAGGGGGAAAAAAAGGAGAGAGACATGATTACAACCTTAAGCCAGAGATAGAGGGTATGTGTGTGTGTGTGTGTGTGTGTGTGGGGGGGGGGTTGGGGGGGGGGGGGGGGGGGGGGGAGGAGGTTAATGATTAATTCAGTCTTACTATAAAGCATTATTTTTAAATGGAGACCTCTAGTAAAACTAATTTAATCAAGTTTAAGTTGACACAAGACATTTTGTTCAAAAGCAGTCCTAGTTTCCAGGAGCTCTCCGCATTTCTCCCTTCTTGGCCATCGAAAGGGTCAATGAAACCTCCCAAATAATACAATCAGCAAAGACTATGGGAGATCTATATCAAATATGCCAGCATTTTGAAGGAGAGGAAAACTTCTTCCTAAACAGATGCACAAGAATTAAGGGAAGGGACCAATTAATGAAGAGTACTTAGCTGGAATACCCTACTATTGGTTCACAGCTTACACATAACAGTAAAACGACAGTCCCAAGCTCTAGTATATTAAAACATACAATGATTACTAACCAATGTTTTGTAAGATGGTCTCAAATTATCTGTGATAAACCCTGTCTCCCACTGGGGTATGTGCTACAAAAAAGAAGGTGCGAGAGACTGAGGAATTCCATTGCTATTTAAATTAAAGCTCTCATAACCAAGCAAAGAGAGTGTTTTCCTAGGCAAAGACAACTGCCCTTGCAGGAAGTATTGTTCTTCCTGCTGGAAAACTCAATTGGAGCATATGACATCCCACCAAATCAGGTTACACAGACTTTTAATGCTAGGGGGGAATAAAGAACCCATAAGAAGGCTGAGAGAAGTGCGGCCTGAGATAATACTAACCACACAACTAAAAGAGAAGACTGCAAAGGCAAAACCTTGCTCCTTATTAATCTTGCAAGCTCTGGAGAAGTGCCACGTCTGGTAACAGGAGTTTTACTACTCAGATGGGCAAGGAATTCAGCTCTTCCTTTAGAACACGGAACCAGTTCCCAGTCTCCCTATCACTATGAGGGGACATGTTAAAAAGACTTCCCAGCCCCTGGCCAGTACTGGCTGAACAGGCAGTCAGTCACTGCACAGCTTACACTTGCTTGTAAACTGGGAAAATGGGCTGAATTCAGAACCAGTCACTGGATTCTTCCTATGATTTAATGTTTCAACAGTAGTAATCTGGAGAAATAATAATTGCTGCATGAGTCTTTTTTAGCGGAGTTTAATGCAAGGGGCTGGGAATGCAAAGAACCAGATTCACTTCCCTGTTTTGTTTATGAGCCCAAGGCTACTGGAAGATAAACAGCTGGAAGGAAGCTTTACATAGTGGTTCCTGTCTGCATTTGCATTGTTAGTTGAAAAACATCTGTGGAGAGAAGGAAAGACTCCACTATGCAATGTAATCCAACTGAAAATAAGACCTTGCAGCATGGGCTTCTGTCTGGGCAGAAGTACAACACTGGAAAGGTCACTCTCAATAAAGAGAAATACAGTTAAAAACTCTTGAGACTGTTCTACAGCTGATATGCTGTAGAAATGCAAAATTATCATTCCACACTTAAACAGGATCCTTTTGTACAGGATAGAGATACTAAGCACTCACAGTTTCAAGTACTAGAAAGGACTGCAGGTGAACAAGTCTGAGAGATTAATTGCATCTAACAAGTACTGTGCTAATTATCCAAACATGGAGTTACATTTACTGCAGCTCTATAGAAAGAGAGATATCCTCCTCTGACAAGAAGCAGCGGTAGGTTCTGTAGTTATTTAAAAAATACTGAATATAGAGTTGTATTCTACATCTACAACACCATATACTTTTATCAAACTGCATCATAACAAAAAGATGAGATGCATCTTGGCATTAAAAAGAAGTGGGAAAAAAGTATGACATGCTCATCAACACAGTTCACCCCTTTGTCAATGTGGCAGCAAGGGGTTTTGCATGGATTTTAAATTACTTGTTACTTTCTTTTTTTCCAATTGTCCAGCTGGCCATGAGATGTCAGGCCCCAGGCAACATTCAGCTCATTTGTGAAACCCCTCCAGTAGCGAACTAAAAGAAATATTTTAACAACAGGCCATAGTTAGCAGAGATTTTACACTCTCTTTACAGGCCTAATGTCTACTCCAGCCAACACCTTAAAATTAACCTCTGATGTCAGTTGTGTGAAGCAGTAACCAGGGGAAAAATTAATCCCACACAATTGAATTTGGGTAAGGTTACACCATTTCTATTTTGACCTGTACATAAGGTCAGGTGAAGGCTTTGGAGGGAGGATATATTCATAGAATGTTACAGAATAAGGTAGTGTAAGAGTGATGTTGTATCCAAGAGAATCCAGAAATTATGCAAGCAACAAGGATTTCTTAAGGTGTTCTCTCTTGTGGGACCAACTATAACTTTATCCCAATTACACAGTCGGTCCCACAAAAAGAAACTACCCTAAGAAATCCTTGCATCTTACAGAATAAGGGACAGAATTAAATTAATTTATGCCCCTTCCCCCCACTTATACAGAATCTGGTCTCTGTTATCAGCTGAGATGACTGATCTGAGACCAGCATTACATCATTTCAGAACAAGCATGCATTCCCCAATGGATGGCCATCGGATGATGAAAATAAATCCACATTTATATGTATTGTCATCCGCAATGAAGCAGGATTATAACAAAAGCAAATCATCACCTCAAGCTTCACCTCAAGCTTCAGTACATTCACAATGGCGTCAAGAATAAAAAGTAGCAGCAAAAAATCCTGTGATATCCCATCAGATCTCTTGGTAGCCAGAGCCACTAGTTGCTTGTACACTAGCTATAGTCTACAACGAGCTGACAAGAAAAATTATCCCCTTATAGACATGATTACAATTTAGGTCTCAAAAGATGACATTTGTCCTCTGTAGCAGTAACCCAATATAGGCAAATACTGCAGCAGAAAGACTTACGGCAGTGATTTTGTTACTGTCATGCCCCTGAAACCTGGGCTCTCCTCTGGTCCTCAGTTAAGGGCCAACAATGGAGAAACCTGGTTGGCTGAAGAGAATATTGTTTGAATTTTGCTGAATTGGCCTGCTGCCTATTAGGAGTTTTAATACCCATTAAGGCTCTGCAAAACAGTACCATTTTGTTTAGACTTCTGTTTCGCCATTTCGAAGGGACACTGTTTTGTTTCATCGTTTCATTTCGAAGCTCTGTTCCATTTCATTTCGTCAAAACTGTTTCAACGCTTTGTCCATAGGCTATAATGGGGAATCATAAAAATGCCTATAACTTTGTCATTTCTTGCCTGATTCAGATGAAAACTGCGGGGATGGTAGCCGCTTTCAAGGGCATAAAACCTGCCAAGTTTCAAGGAGGTAGGTGCAGGCATTTCTGGGAAACTACACCTCAAACTCCTGACAAGCAAAACTCATATCACTTGCTGGCAATAGCAGCTTGCTGTCATCCCACATGCAGATCTGAGGGTCCGCACCCCCCAGGAGGGCTGTGGAGCTGTGCCAGACTCCTCCTGGGGGACGTGGGCCCCTGGATCTGCATGCGGGATGACAGCATGCTGCCGGTGCTGCCTGGAGCCAGCACCCGAACCTGCCTGGTTCTCGGCGCAGGCTGCGCCAGGCACACTCGGGTGCTGGCACTGGCCCCAGCTGGCAGCAGCAGCCTGCTGTCATCCCACATGCAGATCTGGGGGCCTGCAACCCCTGGGCAAGCTGTGGGGCTGTGCCAGTTTACTCCGGGGGGCACGGGATGCCAGCAGGCTGCTGCTGCCAGCTGGGACTGGTGCTGGCTGCAGCCCATGCCAAGCGCTGGAAAACCTGGTGCTGCTGCTGGTCTCAGCTGGCAGTGGCAGCCTGCTGTCATCCCATGCGCAGATCAAGGGGCCCACGGTGCAGCAAACCCAGCTTCAAAACTCAAAATGTTTCAAAACTTTCGAAACATTTTGAGTGCCCTCATTTCGTTTTGAAGTTGTTTCGAAGCCTTTTGCTTCATTTCAATTTCGCTGTTCTACAATTCTGACCTTTAGATTTCCCTACCCACTGCCATTGGAGAGGTAGTCCCAATTCTAAAGTGATGGAACACATTTGGAAGTTGTAAGACTCCATAGCAGAGTGAACATATGAGTACATACAACTCGCATATCCATACCTTGTCATTGTTGGTTGCATCAGGCTTGCTGATACTGTTTAGATGACAGCAGTACACTTCTTTTCCACTTTTATATTCCCAAAGCCTCAAAGTACAATCCTAAATAAGTTGGAATGGAAAAGTTGATTAACGCTATCTCTGACACAGAGAAGCTACTTATGGTCTTAAGAGACAAGCTAAATCATATTTCCCTAGGCAGCCTCACGAACGAGATTCTAAATCTTCACTTCGTTAAACTCTCAAATTGCAGATAAGGCATTTTAATTAACATAATTTAGCTCAATTCTAACTTGTGCAATCATGCAAAAAAAATTCCTTTTGTAGTATAAATTAGGTTGCTGGATGAGTGGATTTACGCCTGCTTTGTAAATAGCACAATAAATGTGCTCATCACCTTAATGGCATTCCTTTAAGGTTGCCTTTCCTTCCCCTCCCCTTGTATATCACCCAAACCAGTTTGAATTGTATAAGATAGTAAAAAAAGTCCTCATTTCATGTTATAGCTGCTTGGAGGGAGAGATTAAAGACTTTTCTGAAAGAGAGTCATCTTCAATGATTCTGTTTAAGAATGAAAAGCAGACAGGTTCATCACTATCACTAAAACTGCTCAGCAAGGTAGTGCAAAGGAACCAGAGACAGGATCTCTGGAGAAGCAAAACTAAGAAATCAAAGTAAACTTATAAGGGCTACTGTAACATTATAGTAATTCAGTTCTATAGGGTGGGTTGTTTTTGGTGCAGTCATATTAGCATTAAATAATCTATTAGGGCTGCACACACGCACATTAACACACAATAGTTTCCTTTCTCTGGCACTGAGGCTCACCTCAGATTGGTTAGTCTCTCTAGATCTGGCACTATATCGGGTTGCTCCCAATAAAAAAAAAAAAATTCTATTATCATATGATATAATTCAGAAAGTTTTGCAAGAACCTAGGTTTTTAAGCATTAATCAAGTGTTTTCATCTTAAATGTTCCAAGGAAAAATACCCAGGATTCTAGCATTCATTGCTCATTAAAAGGCCATTAATTGTCACGGCTGCCTGGCCCAACATTTAATCTACCTCAAAACTGCTTTAACAGTCCCTTGATCAAAATGTATCCATGCCCCAAGGTAAGAGTTAATCACAAAGAATTAGAGAGGAGGACTGTGCAATTTCTCCGGCCCAAGAGATAAAAAAATATGAGAACTAAGAAGAAGCTGAACAGATTATGCAGAACCTACAAGATACACTCTTGGAAGAGGAGAAAACCGGAGTGTGCAGAAGCTTACAGAGACAACAGAATTAGGGAATTATTGATTTTAAAGTAACCCTCTGGTTTGTTCTGAGAATTAAAAAAAAAAAAAAAAAAAAAAAAATCTACAAAGAATGACATTTCAGAACTGAAAAGGGAGGCAAAAAGGTGAGGAAGAGAAGAATAAAGGTGGAGAGTCAAAAAGAATAAGACTGAAAGTTGGCAAGAATGGTAGCCATTTCCAAAAGTACTGGAAATAGAAAATTGTGAAATAGGTCTTTGGCTATAAACTTGGATTAAAACATGAGTAGATTCTGAAAATGTTTCAGTGAAACTACTACATGAGATCTGACACTTCAGAAACTGTAATATTTTTTTCTTAGAATGCAGTTCCCGCTCCAAGTAGATGAGAGGGCCATACAGTGAAAGTTGAGATTTGGTATCTGCAGGTATTACTGCACCATACATTTGGGCAAATTTTGGATGTTCCAGTATTTTCTGAGTCATGTACTCCAACATACATTAGAATATTCTACTGTTCACACATTCGGTAACTTGCAAAATATTCCATAAACAGACACTGAAATGTTTGGGGTTCCATTACAATTAAAAATACTAAGGTGCAAGTGCTTCCACTTTATATAGAAATGTCAAATCCAGTTCTTTCCAGGAGCCCAATAACAAAATATTACCTACTTAAAAAGCAGCTTGTGGTATTAAAAAGTGTTAAAGCAAATCAAAGCACACCCATCTCACTAATGATAGAAAGACCAAACATGGTAGAATACTGAGAGGGTTGGCACTGAAGTATAATTATTCTGTTTCTAGGGAAAGGAAGTCCCTGAAAAACAAGCAAATAACTGCTGAAATCAGAGTTCAAGGAGTGACATTTTTGGAGAGGAAATAGAATACATACCCCAGAAGCTGATAACAGAAGATCTGGATAGTCGGGTATTACAAATATTCTGCTTACAAACCTACAGAAAAGTAATTAAAAGTCTGGTATGTGCCAAGAACAAAGCACTAATACAACAACGATAAGACTGTATTTTAGGGTTATGCATCCATCCATTGTATAGAAAAGACAACAGAAAGACAAGTTACAGAAAAAGGAGTTGCTTCTCTCCCTCAGAACTGCTAAGCTAGCTGGGAAGAAGATCCATTTGATTAAGTCACAGTTTCTAATATTCCCAGAAAAGCCCTCCACCTAATAATTTTTTTTCTTTCCTGTAGTCTAGGAATTTTACTGATTTCCTTCATGAATGAAGACAATGCTGTTACTGTGGGTGCTTAAGTTTTTGAGACCAGAAGATGCAAACATGAATAGATTTATCTTGCTTTTTGGACTCAATTATGATCATAATATTAAAATAAATGAATGAATGAATAAATAAATAAATAAATAATTTTGTTTTTATTAGTGAAGGCTGAGGCATCAGTGTATGAGGTCATTCTTATCATAGCTGAGAATTATTCAACACAATCTCTCTTCGTTCTCCTTTCAAACTTATCTATATCCAGTTGGAAAACAATCACTCAGGAGCTTTAAACACTGCACCTTCCACCATGACAACTCCTGGAGTCCTTTGTGAATCCTCAAAGGACTGCTGGAGCATTTTACTATCCCAGGGCTAATGTGTAACAACAAAATGCTGCTGTCAGTGCACTGAACAAATATACATTTGAGTTGTTCTTTAAATAAGGGGATATGCTCTCACTTTTAAAAATAAGCATGATTTCAAACCAATTAATTAAAAAAAGAGTTAAAAATTAGCTCTAGTCAGTGATTCTCAACCAGGGTGCCACAGCACATTGGGTGTCCTGAGATCCACTCTCAGGTTCTCACCCTTGAGAACTGGAAGGGTGCCATGGATTGCCACGCAATGTTAGCACTGTTAGGTGTGCAAACATGATTCATGACAAACACAGAGATGTCAAACAGGAATCCATAGTGTCAAAAACATTCTGACCTGTTGTGGTTGTTCTGAGGTCTTTACACGAGAACAATTGCTCTGTTATTTTTCTGTAATCAGAAAATGAGTGAAAGCTAACAGCTGGCATTTTCCAAGGGGGGCCTCGAGTCTAAAAAGTTGAGAATCACTGAGCTAATTAAATCTACTCTTATTACAAAAGCAACAACTGCAGGTGCAGTCATAACACTGCAGTTTCCCTAAAAACAATACAAAACATTCATGCAGACTGTTCAAAGAAAGGATACTCTGTAAGGGAGAAGCAAGACATCAAAATGCATTATTGAATCTTTCAGTCCATTTATTCTAATTTAAATACTGATTTTTTTTTAAAAGAGCTTGGCCCATTTATACTAAGTACCCTCCTATTGTTGAATTGTTAACAAATTGTTTGTCCAGGTACAATAGCCTCCACTTACTAGAAGGGGTATTTTTCATCATCAAAGCTCTATATTCATTAGAGATATAACTGTTTACACAGTAGACAGAAGAGATCAGATACAGCAGTGTAAACAAGCATTAGAAACCTCATGTTCAAAGGCAGTTTAAGATCTTTGATATTCATTAAAAGCTGTGCAGCTTTTACACAATGCCAAAATCTGTGAAGATTAAACTGCCAGGGATTGAAATGGTTTTATTAACAGTGTCTGTTAATCAGATTTGAAGTGTGTTCTTACACACTAAAACCTATCTGTAATTTGAAGAGATTGTACCAAGACAGGGAAAGGCATACAGCCTGTGAACTGGAGTCAGCCTGCCATCCAGCCCACCAGAAGTCTGGCAGGTTACTGGAAGCTGTGGGGATATGGCCTGCCACAGATTTCAGGATTCCTGGACCCTAACAGAAATGGCCATTGCCAGCAGCCCCCTGGCCCTGCGCCACTGTCCCCATGTTCTGCACATCTCCAGATGTGTGCTGCTGCCTGAGCATGACTCCATGCTGCTGCTTGAACATGAACCCACCCCAGTTGCTGTTGGCTTCCTATCCACCCTGGGAGGAACACCCACAGTCCAGATCTGACCAGGGGTAGTTTGACACATTTGGGTTATGGTATCTGTAGTCACTTCCTTTACCTGGTGTCCCTTGTGTCATGGTGGGATAGTACATTACATCGTATTAGGCTTCTCTGCATATTGCATTTGTATCTCAAAGGATGTTAGTATCCCCAGGCAGCCGTGCTGCCAGAGAAGCAGAAGTGTGCATGTTCTTTACACTGTGTGCTGCCATGCTCGGTGGCTTTTCCTGTAGTCCCCATGCTACATCTATAAATTCAAAGATAGAATACTAGTTCTCCATCATGGAGAAATACTAAGGGGGAAAAATGCAAAGATGTTCTTTAGAAGGTTTTCTGAAATGTGACTACATGTGAAATGTAAATTTCCTGATTTTAGAACATTGTGACATCATGCAAAATCTTCCAGAGTCTCTTTGATATTCACCTTCCTGCCTCACTGCCTGAACACTCGGGCAGAACGGACACATTTTTGTGGGCCAGGCAAGCAGATAGGGGACTTCCAGCTAGGGCACCTTCTCTACCCCTGTCCAATGCTACTGCTGCCCCACTTCAGCCTTGGAAGCATCTTTGAACCAAACTCCAGTAAATTTTTCCGAGATATCACTTAAATGCAGCAAGCCCCGACACAATAAACTTACTCTTTATGCCCAAGGCAAAAGGCTACGATGTTATGTGGAGCTCTGGTCAAACTGACTCTAATCTTCTCATCTCGGTCTGCAGTTAGGATATACTGATCGTCGGGACTCAGTGCCTAGTGGGACAAGATGGGGGTTACAGAACACAAGATGGGAACATATTGAAACAAATTATTTCCAGCAAAGGTGAAAAAGTAGCAAGCGTAATGACATGATTTTCATCATTTGGATGCCTTGTAATAACATTCCGTAAGCTGCAATTTAATATTCAGAATGGAAGCTTTGAACCTTCTAGGTAACAAAGAAGGCAGCAGTAGTCAATGTCAGTTATATTGTGGAGTTTTTCAAAACCACCAGAAGTATAGAGAAAGCCTCACTGTGCTTTAATAATAGACTAAGTACAAAAACCTCTCATTGCCAAACTATTAGGCTAGGCTAGACCAGTGGCATTCGAGGTTTTGGCCTTGAAGGCCAGATGTATGATATGGGGCTAATCTGCATGCTGCGACCAGGCCCCATGCTGCCCCCACAGGCCAAGATCAGGCTCCGCACACCCAATTTAGCATGCAGAGCCACAGCCCACAGGGCTCCCCACAGGCCCATGGGGAGCCTCACAAACTAAATAACAAGGTGCCGGGGGCCAGATCTGGCCTGCAGGCTGGGGTTGAGCATCCCAGGGTTACTGATGACTTAACATGTGTGTTCCATCTCTAAGTTCTAGGAGTCAGGAATGACGAGACTAGCGTTTAAAAATTACATGTCAGGAGATCTAATCATTGCATTCCTTCTGTTATACTGATAACAGGTCTCCTTTTATCTGGCATTTGGACTTCGACAAGAACTCCGAGAGGAAAGATGCTGCTGCTCTTCCATCTTGCTTATAGTAAAAAGACTGGGTTTTTGAAAGCTGTGTGAACATGAGGCGGAGAAAAAGTATAAAGCTAAATAATCAAGCTAGAAGAAGGTAAATAAACACACATACGTACTACGTCCATTAGCAGAGAAAGGTGCCCAAGCTCAAGCTTTCCTGCTGCTTGAGGGTCTGTTATGGAATAAGAATAGACATCTCCAGATTTGTCTGCAATCAGAATCTTATCTTCTGCTGCTGTAATAATCAAGGACGTACTTCTCCTAACTACAGACCTGAGGGGAAAAAATGGTTAAGTTTATTAATGGAGTTCAGTATGGCTGTTTTATCATGGAAATGGAAGACCAAAACTAAGTTAACTATATGCTGCCACAAAAAAGAAGACTTGGAGATTGCCTTAAGATTTCACCTCCCAAGGATAATGGAGATTAAAATAAGATACAGCACAAACATTAATTTAAACTATTGTAACACAGACACAAAAGGGAGAATTGAAATGTATGGGTATATTTTAAAATGTTGTTACTTCCTGGCTTAATTATTTTAACTATGCAGCCTGCATGTTCTTCTCAGGAAGTTTGGACAAGTCTATTAAAAAAGAAGCTGATGACAACCTTAGAAATAGAAGAGGGGAGTATGAAGTTGCAGAAAAGGTCATGTATTGGATCTCTTTGCATCTAAGAAGGTTCACAGCTCAGTCTCTAGCTGTGCTAACACTAGAACAAAGGCCTGGCTCTGCACCTTTGCTGTACTTAATCACCCAAACTGGAGCTCAGGATCCAGAGTTCCTCTGGTAGCGGCAGATATCCCAGCCAGTGAAAAGTTGGCACTTAGGGTGCTTGCAGTTTTAATCACCTTCATAGGGGAGATAAGATCTTAATGACCAACTAGCATGTTTTAGTAATATATTTTTCATTCTTAGCTTGCTTTATTTTTTAAAAAGTATTTGCTATTTAGTATTTGCTGCTGCTATTATTTTTTTATTTCCATAGTATTTTTTCACCAAAGTCTCTCAGTGCTTCTGTGAATTAAACTATGCCTTTATATCTCTGGGTAAATAAGGAAGGCTTCATTTCACTTGACAATGAAATGTGGTAACCGCTGAAAAAAGCACTGTAATGGACTTTGGCAATACATCTAATACCGTGTCATTTGTCAGCCAGATTATTTTTTTAGTAGGTTACTTTCTGGGTTGCTGGCAAGCTAGATGCTTACCAAAAGATACAACATGAACAGCCCTATCATCTCTTTCTATGCAGCACCATCAAAGGTTCTCTTGTGTTAAAGGAAGGACAGCATATGCCAACGTTGTATTAGGCTTCCTATGAGTATTGCCACAAACATATCTATTTCTGCATGTCTGGTTCAGTGTCACTGTAGAGTTATTTTCTCATGCAATGCTCCTTTTGTTGGTATTTCCAGTTTCCTAACAGAAGTGACATCATATAACTCTGGTTAAAATCCAATTGGGTTTCAGGCTGACATGTCAGTAGAAGACTGCAAAAGCAAACAATTATCCTGAAGCACCCTAAAATGAGCGAGAACAGGCATGAGAGAGGACTGTGTTCCTCCTTTGGGGCTGTGGAAGAGAATACATAAGGAAAGAGAGGTAAAACTCAAACAGTTCTGGCTAATATCAGCCTAGACATGGGGTCTGACTACATACAACAGCAGCAATATTTCTATAAGCTGCATTGTCACTTTCACCAGAGCCAAAAGGAGAAACCAATGACGCTCTTGGGTAAAATTAATCAAAATTCATGCAGCACACTGTAATTTAACCAAACTACAAAATGATGAGCCGGGGTCAAAGCCGCACATTCTAATAGGCTAATTAAACATCTGTGACCAAAAAAAACACTACAGCTTTTCACAGGGGAAATAAAAAAAAAAAAAATACTAATCAGAAAACACCATCTCAGTTTTAGAGAGAGCCCAATTATTTGGCATTGTTGATTTTTTTTTTTTTTTTATTTTAAGATGACACAACTAAAGAAACAGAATATTTGTATAGTGTGGTCACCAGGTAAGTGAAGAAATATTTTGTTTCTCTTTTTCTTTGTATGCATCTCTAACACACAGAAATTGGACAAATATTTTGAAATGGGGAAAAAGCTAGAGCCAAGAAACTGACCAGGACCTCAGGGGCAGGTCTAGTACCCGAAAGTACTTCAACTCCTTCTCAGTAATGACACGGTTGTAAATTGAGGGTGTCATTAATTTAGTTTTGCACAACTCCAATAACAAGAAAATGGATGTTTTTATGTTAAAATACTGAATTGAGTTATCTGGTTCTGCCATAGACAGCCTAGGATGGCATTTCGCAAGTCATTAAAGGTCTCTCATCTACACCATAAGTAGAACTATGATGGGGAAAGCTTGTCATAGCATTTATTCTGCTCTGAAGACAGAAAATAATCTAGCATTTTTTCCAGATATTTACAGACAAAGTCTTCATTTTGAGAAGTCTAAGGGGTCCTCTCTCTCTCAGGACAATCTGCAATGGAAGATTTATAAATGAAGGACCTCTGGTGGACAGCAAGAGATTACTCTTCAAGAGGGTGGAATTACCAATAGAAATGTAAATGTATAACAGAACTGATAAAAATCGATTTATTTGGCGTAGTAGGGGGGAAACCAGATTTTTATTTTGCTATTCAGACTGAACATTTTAATTTTTAAAAACTAGTCTGTTTAAAATAAACTCTGAATTTAATACAAACCCTGTTTACCCTGTACTTATTAAATGATTGGAGAGATTATAAAACAAAAACAAAAAAAAACCATGCCAAATTCACAGGCCTCCAACACAAATGCTGAGTTACAGACTGCCTTCTTTTTGATAAAGAGAGTCAGGGGGAAAAAGCATCTGACTTGAAGTCGAATTGTTGGATCATATACTGTATTAGGGGCTTGTTCCTTTGGCAGAAACTGGGTGTTAGAACCTGGAAAAGTCATTACAAGTGCCGGGATCCCACCTCTAAATTCCAGACACACCGCTGTACATCTCATCAAGATGAACTACTGAGCCACCTCCCTGAGCTTTCACTGGCCGTTTTCAAAATTACAAGCATTTGTGATTCCACTTGTGTGGAATGAAACATTATGAAATGTGTTCTTGTGGATGCCAAGACTAGAGATGATGATGATGACTATGACAATGATATATGGATGCATCTGAACAATCTCTTATGGCCTCCCTACCATGTGCCGATATATAATAACTTAGACTGTTGTCATAAATTTTTGTTTTGGGCAGACTGCATGCTAATGCAGTATTTGCAAATACTGGCATTAAAATTACAACTGGAATATTAATTTGTTGTGGAAGTAATTTCATAGTTGGTAGGGTCAGAAGGGCCCTAAGCAGATCATCTAGTCTGCCCCCCCGCCATGGGCAGGAAAGAATGCTGGGATCAAATGACCCCAGCTAGGTGGCTGTCTAGCCTCCTTTTGAAGACCCCCAGGGTAGGGGCAAGCACCACTTCCCTTGGAAGTTGGTTCCAGCTCCTAGCCGACCTAACAGTGAAGTAGTGCCTCCTGATATCTAGCCTGAATCTAATCTCAGTCAATTATCAATTGCCATATATCATTTCAGCATCTGTGCTATATTTATTGTCCAATATAACCAAATATAACCAAAGATTTCCTGTTTAAAACTATAGTTTCAATAGGCATTTATAAAACTTTAAATTTATATTTTTTCCAAGCTGTTTTGCATACTACTCCGGATAACTGTTTAAAACAGATTTATATAATAATTATGATTTATTATTTTGCCCCCTACAAACTTGATTTAGAATAAAATTGTATCATTTGAAGAATTTTACAAACAAGTGAAGGAAGAATCACATCTTTAAAGCACTGAGTAATACAGAGCGAGTAAAAATGACTGTTTAATATTATGGGGTTACAATTATGACCATCCGTCATATGCAATATCTAGAAATTTTCAGCAAGACTCCAAGAAATTAAAGATACTGCTTGGCTCACTCAGGCAACAAGTTCTCCCTTTTGTCCTGTTCAGAACGTTCACTGGCATGGTTCAAGCATTCTAGACTATATGAAGCAAGCACGGCTGAAATGTTACTGGATCCGCTGTACAAGAAGGAAATTGAATAACATGGCAAAAGCATTGACTGGGAATTTGTTACTCTGATTCTTGATGAGTGGAATTAGGTACACAATGATCCATCAATGCTCTTACATAAAAGCAGAAGACGAGGCTATCTGGCTGATGACAAATTTTAAATTACAGGCACGGTGGGATGTAATGTGTGATTCAAACAAGCATACCTCCTGCCATGCCACCGGTGCATGGTAGGCGGCATGACTGTGGAATAAGAGTTCAGATTTGAGGCATGCCACATTGCCAGTGCAAGGGGAGCCTGGGATCATGACTGCAGTACATAATCATGGTCCTGGACTCCCCCTGTACTGGCAAGTAGTAAGACTGGCTCCCATGGCTGGGAGCCCTAATCAGCTGACCAGGACTCCCAGCACTGGGAGCAACAATGGAGTCTTGAAGGGCTCTGGTGTGTTCCAGAGACTGGGAGCTCTGGCCACATGTTCAATTTAAGGTGCAATGGGAACCAGCCATGGAGTTAATACACAAGTTTTGTGTAATAACTTTGTGGCTTCTTCCATTTTTGTGTGCTATTAATTGAATGAATGTGTGGTTGGGTCACTAAAGACATAATTAACTAGTTAATCACACTTCCAGTGTAATGCCCATCAGGGGCCTGTCTCACAGCAACAGATTGTGTGTAAAATGCCCAGACAGCAGAATACTTGGAAGTATCAGTGGTAAAAGCTGTAGAAAACTGAATGAAAATTCAAGTATTAAATGCACACACCTTTGTCACTAGCAATACTACAAAGGTACAAAAGATAAGAAGTTAAGAGCAAAACCTAAAACTTTAAAAATATGAACAGAGCTCATTTGATGCATCTTTTAGCAAAAGACTTGAGTACTTGAGCAATAAAGGAACATCTTAGAAATGCAAAATAATTCCATAACCACTTTATTTCAGCTTCACTGAAAATGCAGGAAGAGCCAAACAAATTCTTCACCAGATGTAAAATGGAATTGGCTTTTGACTGTTTTGTGCAATTTATTAATAACTAGCCCTTTGATAAAAATGTGTGTTGAAAAGAATGTCAAAATAGAGGAAACTATCACACTAAAAATAATTGATATTGAAATAGCTGAGCACACTAAAAATAATTTCCATAGTATTAAACTGCAGAAAGACAGCGACATTATTAATGCTGTGGAAATTTAGTAAAAAAAGACCCACCCAACAACAAAGTTACGTCCGCAGTTTAAGAGAATGAAGCCCTGACTTCATCTCCATTTCCTTGCCAATATTCTCAGCTCCAAGATCAGGGCAGATGCGTAACTCCCCCAAACACTGCTACTTAAATATGAGCTATACAGCCTGTTTATAATATAGTGGCACATCCTATTCTGCTTCCTTACCTGATGCTAATGCATTCCCAGGAAGGCTTTGTACGAAAAAGAATGAGATGCTTGTTGTCATCTGTCAAAGCAAAATAATTTCCTGATGAAGAGAAGGCAAAAGCTAGGATGTCATTGCTTGCTTTATCTGTTGGCTGTCCAGCCTGTCTGAAATATAAAAAAAAAAGGGGGAAAACTAAGTTTGTTCCCAAGCTGACAACTTTGATGGTTTAAGTAAACATGCTCAATCCACTTTCATGGCTACAGTCTTGGTCATATTTTCATTTTAGTAAAGTTTTTCTCTAGTTATTGTGGCCAAGACCAAAACCAAAAAGAAACAAAATTGACAGGGGCCCATTCCAACATGGTGTTGGTGGCCACGTTAGCTGATTGTGATCTATAAACAGCAGAACTGACAAGAGGCAAAGCAGTTATCCATGCTCAAAGTAAAACAAGACTAAAGTATTTTTCCATTCTAATAATTATACAGGTTAAAACAAAAATACCCACACAACACAGTAGTGTTGATTGTTGTAGTTGCATTCTTTTCAGGCAATTTACCACAAAAAAAAAATTTTAAATGCATAATAAATAACAAAATAGAGGATTTGTCTGGAAATTAATTAAATCATGTCTTGCCTACAAGCATTCCCAATTATGTCTTGTTTATCACTCAATTATTGAAAAAGGTCATAGGAAAGTAAGGATGGAAGGGACCTCATGAGGTCATCTAACCATGTTATCCCTCTGCTCAAGGCTAGATAATCCTGTACTAAGACATCCCAGCCAAGTGTCTCTTTAACTTGCTCTTGAAAAATATCCAGACAGAGAGTCCAGAACTTCTCTACGTAGCCTGTTCCAATGCTTGACTCCCCTCATAGTTAAAAAGTTCTTCCTAACCCTCAACCTAAATTTCCTTTGCTGCAGTTTTATGCCATTACTCCTAGCCTTTTCTCTGTGGCTGCAGGGCACAAGACTATCTCCCGTAAAGGTATTCAGAGACTGTTATCAAATCCCCTTTCAGCCTTCTCTTCTCCAGACAATAATCCTAGTTCTCTCACCCTTTCTTCATAAATCATATTTCCCAGGCCTCTAATCATTTATGTTGCTCTCTGCTCTACACATCTGTCCACATCTTTCTTGAAGCGTGGGGCCCAAAACTGAACACAATACTCTAGGTGAGGCCTCACCAATGCCGAATAGAGCAGAAGAATCGCTTCCCTTGATTTGCAAGAGACATTTCTATTAATACAACCCAGCAGGTTGTTGGCTTTTTTTTTTTTTTTTGCAACGAGGGCAGTGTTACAGCCTCTGGATAGGCAGCAAAAAGTTTAAATGAATTCACTCACCCTTTTTCTTGTGTCCTCTTGTTTGCAGTGACACAGTCATACACAAAGAGATCGCCATCATTACTGGAAAAATAAGGATAAAAAACCCAAATACTATCAGAATTCCCTCACACAGAATACCAACTTATTCATAATGCACCATTCTTACATACTTTTATGTTCCAATTGTAGTCTGCTCCGATGTTCCCCTACCACCACCACACCTCCAAACACCAACAAAACTGTTCAGGTTATTGATATTTAGCATCTTCCATCCCATATACACACCAAAAACAAGTTATCACTTACCAAGCATAAGTTATTAGTTGATGGCAAAACAATGTGATTTTTATTCTGTGAACAGCTGTTTTCATTTTTACTGGTCTCTCAAACGCACCAGTCATTTGCAGTTAATTTATCTTGGCATCTGCTATGTATGTCACTGATTGATCAGGTTGTCTGTGTATGAATGCTGTCAGGCATCAAGACTAGTAAGCTTAAAGTGGAATTTACTGTATACAAACAAGCTGTGTGCCAGTATTTAATGAAGTACAAATTTGGTAATCTAGACAAAATGAACAACTGACAAAATCACAGCCCTGTTTCATTCGCCATTTCCTTAATTATGTCTCACTATCTGTGTAACCCTTGGAAAACCTTTCTATTGAAGGATGGAGTGAGATGTACATAAGTACATGATGGCTTTTTCATTGCTGGGTAAACTAACAAGTAAAGCTAATTTCCCAAAGTAACCATACTAGTTTTGGGCTTCTTGAAAGGAACACCATCCACTTTAGGGGAAAGGGAGATATTAACCAAAATTTCCCCTATTACACTAATTAATTGAAACATTAGAGATTTTTTCCTCCCAGTTTTAGCCCCTACTCCTGGGAAAGAATCTATGATCAATTACATCATCCTGAATAGCCCTATTTAAGTCAATTAAATCAGCAAACCTATATGTGCAAACTTAGGAAAGGACATACAGGTCAGTCGCATCATACATGCATTTAACTTGGGCAAATTCAACTATATGCGGGGTGGGAGGGGGGGCAGGGCTTGAGCTTGCACACGGCACTGTCGCTTACCTGGAGGCCCGTTATGGCAGTGACGGCCACTGCCTCCAAAACCTCCTGCTGTCGCCATGGAGCCATGCCCAGAGCTGTGTGGCCAGTCGCCAGGCGGCGGCAGCAACATGGTAGTGGCCGGGCAGCATGCAGCCATCCCCACCACCATCCCGCACTGCGCCGCTGCCACACAGCACTAAGCATGGCGCCGCTTGCACACTCAAGCCCCGCCCTCCTCCCACCCCACGTACAGTCACCGATTTTCGCTTTACGCGCTGACTTCAGCACCTAACCCCCGTGTAAGATGCGACTGACCTGTACACTAGTAGATCCCGGAGTGCACAAGGTGATATGAATCAGTGGGGAAACCAGCCATTTTTGGAAGGCATGCCACAAATTAGCCCTGGATTTTCCCTCAGTGCCATCCCCTTTCCCTGCTCAATCTGCCGCTCTGCTTTCTGCTCCCAGCCCTGCGCATTCTGCCTGATTTGCTGCTTTGCTTTCTGCTGCGCAGCCTGTCCCCTCTCTGATCTACCGCACACCACATCAAGGCTGCCTGTGCCACTTGTGTCACCGGTACCACAGGTTGGCCAGCCTTGATATAGACAGTTAGTCTGTTACAGGACGATCTCTCATCGGAAACATTTTAAGTCCTCACATGCTGTAAATTTACAAACATCAGCACCAAATCCAGGGCTCCTACTTCATATGAAAAGGCTTGTTTTAAGTCAGGGGTGTCCAACATGCAGCCTGCAGGCTAGATCCAGCCTGTGGAGCCCTAAGATCTGGCCAATGGGTCTCACACTGACCCCACATGCTGCATGCAGCACATGGAGTCAGACTCATGCATGAGCCGCATGTGTCACCACAATTCCTGTGCACAGCACTGGGAGTGGGTCCAGGCTGCAGGCTACATGCAGTGCCCCACTTCATGCTCGGCCCTGGCTCTGGCACCCTTTTCAGCCACATGCTTAAAAGGAAGGGGAACAGGGGTGCAGGAAGGGGAACAGGGGTGCCATGCCTTCAGCACCACCACCTTCCTCTCCCAGTAGGGCAGGAGCTGGGCCCTGAACGACTATGCACAGAGGGAACGAAGTAGGTTGTGGAACTAAGGGCAGGGGGAGGGGGGCTCCAGAACCACGGGCGGGGGAAGGGGGAGGTTCTAGAACCGAGGGCGGGGGTTCTGGAACCAGGTGTGGGGAGAGCGGCAGCTGATGCCCCACAGTTCACGTAGGGGGAGGGAGGAAGGGAGGGGCCAGCCTTGCACCCAATGGCCGGACCCTGCTCCCCCCGCTGACAGCCATCAGGCCCCCGCGCAGCCCCAGTCCCGGGCCAGGGCCCCCCACCATCGCCGCTGCTGCCGCCGCTTCCTCCATGCGAACGCCCACCCACGTGCGCCCGGGAAGCAGCTAGAGGCTCCCCCAGCGTCGCGGGATTTAGACATCACCATGGGCGCTGACGCTCGAATGTGACGTAACCAGAGAGCGGCGAAGCGGGGGGGGGGGGGGGGGCGTCTGTCGGGCTCGGGGACCGGGGGGGGGGGGGGAGGCGCTTCTGAGTTGCGCTCAGGAGGCTCGGTTAGTCGCAGCCCGTCGTGGGGCTGGAGTTGGGCCCTTGTTCTCACTGGTTTGCCTTAGTTCCTCATTTCCAGTCTCTGGCTCCTTTGTCCAAACCCTGGCTGCTATGTTAAAATCACTTCCCCGGTGTTTGATAGCCAGGGATCCTAGTTTTCTGTGATTAAAAAAATTCCAATTTTCAGATTTAAAAAAGTAACCCACAATCCACATCCACATTTTTATGTGATTAAAATGCAACTCCACTTATATAGTACTGTTTTGTTTTAACCACGGAAAAATGTACTCTCTCTCTCTATATATATATATAGTACATTATTAGTACATTATAGTACTATATATATATATAGTGGTGTTTCATTTTAATCATGGAAAAACTTGGATTTTTTTTTTTTAATCTGAAAATTGGGGATTTTTCTTTTTACCAGAGAAAACCAGGGTGCCTGGTGATATTATGCCAGAGTACATGTCTTTTTGCAGCCGCTGGTGATGCTGAATTGCATCTTGGTAAAGTTTATGTATTGGGGAGAGTCTAGTGGAGGGCAAGGAAAATGGCGAGGGGGCTTTAGGGTTAGGGTTAGGGTTAGGGTTGACATGACTTCTGAAGAGAGGCTGAGGGAACTCGGCTTATTTAGTCTGCAGAAGAGAGGACTGAGGGGGGATTTAATAGCAGCCTTCATCTAACTGAAGTGGGGTTTAAAAGAGGATGGCGTTAAACTGTTCTCAGTGGTGGCAGATCACAGGACAAGGAGCAGTGGTCTCAAGTTGCAACAAGGGAGGTTTAAGTTAGATATTAGGAAAAACTGTCTAATAAGGAAGGTAGTAAAATACTGGAACAGGCTACCCAGAAAGGTTGTGCAATCTCCACCCTTGGTGGGTGCTTTGGGTTGCCACACCATGTTAGCACCATGTTAGCTCTGCAAACATGATTTGCAAGATAAACGCAAGAGTTTTAAAATAGGAATCCAGAGCGTTAAAACCATTTGGCCCTGTTGGGGTCTTTCTGAGAAGAATTGCTCTAGTATTTTTCTGTAGTCAAAAAAGAAGGGAAAAGTAAGAGCTGTCACTTTCCGTGCCTCAAATCTAAAGAAGTTGAGACTTGCTGGTATACAGTTACAAAGGGTGAACACTTCAAAATAATTAAATCTCTTCTTTCTTTTTCAACTCAATACACACTTACTGTCTCATATGTTTAGTTGCAGCACTGATGCTGGGAACAGTAAACCTTAATTTGTAGATATTGCATATGATGGATGGTCATAATTGTAACCCCATAATATTAAACAGTCATTTTTACTTGCTCTGTATTACTCAGTGCTTTAAAGATGTGATTCTTCCTTCACTTGTTTGTAAAATTCTTCAAATGATACAATTTTATTCTAAATCAGGTTTGTAGGGGGCAAAATAATAAGTCATAATTATTATATAAATCTGTTTTAAACAGTTATCCGGAGTAGTATGCAAAACAGCTTGGAAAAAATATAAATTTAAAGTTTTATAAATGCCTATTGAAACTATAGTTTTAAACAGGAAATCTTTGGTTATATTTGGTTATATTGGACAATAAATATAGCACAGATGCTGAAATGATATATGGCAATTGATAATTGACTGAGATTAGATTCAGGCTAGATATCAGGAGGCACTACTTGTACACTGTTAGGTCGGCTAGGAGCTGGAACCAACTTCCAAGGGAAGTGGTGCTTGCCCCTACCCTGGGGGTCTTCAAAAGGAGGCTAGACAGCCACCTAGCTGGGGTCATTTGACCCCAGCATTCTTTCCTGCCCATGGCAGGGGGGCAGACTAGATGATCTGCTTAGGGCCCTTCTGACCCTACCAACTATGAAACTATGAAAAGGTATAGTCACGGGAGAAAACTCTTCCTGGATTAAATTTTAACAGAGTGGACAGGGCAGGAATTCATGGGAAGGTGTTCCCCACCTGTCCCCACCCTCACCTAGTGACAAGGTCAAGCAAGGGCAAGGTTCAAATCCCAAGGCAAAAAAAAAAAATCCAGACTCGGAACATGTATGATTGGGTTCTGTTTAACTGAATCCATGATTGATAATCTATTATGCAAGGTTTAAAGGAGGGGTTGGCAACCTATAGCCCACAAAGGCCCATATCTGGCCCACAGATTGAATCCTTCACATGGTGGACGGGGAGGAGAACAGCAGTAGCAGGGATACTTTCTCCATGCTGTGTCATACATTTAGCTGTTAGGTGCCACTAGTTCTTTCTACAGCATCCAGCAGATGGCCACCCCAGCCCTCTTTGCTCTGTCATCCTGCTACTACAGTCTGTGCTTACCAGTGCCACCAAATTTACCACTCCCTATCACCTTTGCCAAAGAAATATGGCACTAAGTGGCTAGAGTAAGCAGAAGAAAGAGCAGCCCTCAGCACAGAGCAACTAGGGCTGCAGCAGTAGCTCAGTCATAAACAAGGGATAGCTATGGTTAATGGTTGCTGACCTCTGGTTTAAAGAACAATAAACCAAGAAGGCCAAGTGCCTGCAGAAACCTGCAGCTTGTGCCCATAGCTTGTGACACATCTTCCTTTTTTCAGTCTATGGTACAATATTAGAATTCAGTTGCCATTTAATCAGATCTCTTTCATTTAAGGTCTGAAAAAATGTACAAAACCATCCATGAGTGCAATGATTTTTTTACAGTTTACTGACTTTTTGAGAGTTTGCTCTGATTAAAATTGGCCCAAAGACATATAAAACAAATTAAGTTCCTGTCACTGTTGCCAAGAAACAATATGCGAAGTAAGTGTTTTTTGTGATCTCTTTTATTGTACTAACTGTAGTTGGGAGAGATGTTAGACATATTTTTTAGGAACCAAGAGCCTTTCCTTAGTTTTAGACTGTGGATTTTCCTTTGTCAGCAGCAGATTTCAGTATCCTTCATCTTGTAGTAGAGTTGGATTGTTGTAGCCATGATGGTCCAGGAAATGTATGAGCGCCAGGAGTTTTTTGTGATATCTTTTACTGGACCTGAAGAATGGCACTTTGTTCCTGAAAGTTTGTCCAACATTTCTTCCAATTATACAGTTGGTCTGATAAATTGTACCACAGAACCCCCTCGTTTCTCATATAGTTCCTGGGCCATCCAACCCTACACTCCAATCCTACTAGAAGTAGTATGCCATTCTTTATTTTAAAAAATGTAAAGCCCTTGCCTGAAGCTTCCTCCCTATGTTTCTTTGTTGTCTGATAAGTCATTAAAAGGCATCAAGCTTACAAAAGAGCG